ATACAATTAACATACACACATTCTATTATTGTGCAGATAACAAACATGCAAGTAATCATTAACAAATAAGACTGAAACATCACAATCAACAGTGATAATACTAAATAGGCTAATCAGTTATGGTAAACTGTAAGATTTTGACTTATGTCTAAGTAACAGCAGCTTAAAGGACCAGTGTGTAAGATTTAGTGGCATCAATTGGATGAAGTTAAAACTGCAGCATTTAAATATAACTAACCTTCAAGCAAGAAGAGAAACTGTGGGGGCTGCGAAGACCTGGGCAAAGATAAACATAATAAGGCCCTGTGTAGAGCCAGCGTTTGGTTGTGTCTGTCGGGGCTACTGTAGAAACATGGAGGTTCAACATGGCGCCCTCCATGGAAGAGGACCTGCTCCGACTGTAAATAAAAATGACTCATTCTAAGGTTTCTGGTGATTATACACTAATGAAAACATACAGATATATTCCATTTCTGCCAATAGATCCTCCTAAATGTTACACACTGGACCTTTAAGACTGACGCTCTTCCCCGCAGCTCTCGTTTGCATCCTTTTGCATACTAGCATAAAGAAGTTAGCATAAAGGCAGGAGGATATATGTTTAGAGAAATGACCAGTCCTTTCCTCTGAAACATCACAAAAGATATTTATTCAGTATTTGCATCTGAGACCAAGAGTGGGTGGAGAGATCCAACAGGTGTATATTAAATTCAGTGTTGGGCTAGTTACTCTAAATGGTTAAATTATTACTCATTACTCTTTTAAAAAAGTAATATTATCTCTTTACTTATTACTCCCTACCATCAGTAATTAGTTAAACTAGTTGATATTAAAAATCCAATTAAATTTGAATAGATTTCAAGCTAGTTTCCTCCACGACTACAAAAATGAATCCAAACATGGGATTGTTGGATTTCATATCAAAAGGGGGTTCCAACAAAAGTACAGTTTCAACTAATTACTTTTTCTTTTTTTCTTTGAGGTAACTGTAATATTAGTACTGAAATGTATTAGCAATTAATTACATTACTGGGAAAAGTAATATTATGGATTCAATTGAATGGAAAAATTGATTAAATGCAGGTGAGAATAAAAATAGATCTTTGTTGTGATGTCTGGCAGTGTGTGTGCAGGCTATTTTCAACATTTAGATCAATATCAAGCCTCATCAGCCACTCCTGAAGAAACAAGGAAGCAATGAGGACCATAATGGTGTCGGGTGATTGATTAACATGGATTGCAGGCTATTTTTAGCGTTTTATCTAGCTCATTTAATGGTCTGCCTTCGAAGAATGAGAGCCACCCAGAAACAGTGTACACACCCACACACACGCACAGTGAAAAAACAGCTGTACAGCCAGAACACTAGCAGCAGGAAATGCAGTAACAAGGTGATTCACAGAGGCTCCAGCCCAGGACTGTTCCCCCGGGGAGATGAAGACACTGTGGGGACAGGAGAGGGACAGGGAGGACTCGGTTGGTGATTGTGGGAACAGTGACTGATACAAACGGTTTCTGAGTTTGATTTAGTTTCTGTCGAGTTTGAATGGAGGGTGTTTAAAGGTGAGTTTACAAGGCAATTAAGCTGAAAATTGAATTGTGTTTTTGTATTTTATATTTTCCTTTCTTGACATTTGTTGGTTATTAATTTAAAATTCATTCATTATGTTGCATTCAACTGCGCAGTAAACAATATTGAGTGTGTGTGTGTGTGTGTGTTAAACCACAGGAAGAGGGTCGGTTCCGGTACTGGGGTCTGGGGGTTGTGGTGGTTCCTGTGGTGCAGGTTTTTCTGAGACTTGTCATATTGATTTTTAATGCAACCGATCAACTGGTGGGTTAGTAATGATGTAATGCCCTTGAGATTCTGATATTAGGTCTATCTTCATAAGGTAAGTGCTTTAACAAAAGTGACTGACATGTAAGAAAAGCATGTATATATATATATAATAAAATGTGTGCTCCAATTGTCTAATTAATTTGTTATATTATGTGTATTTCAATACATTAGTTGAACAAATTAAGCTGTGCAACTTGTACAACTGCAATTACAATAAAAAATCTAATTTTAATATGTAGTTTTAATTATTTAAATGTTATTCTGTTCATTGCCTGTAACCCCGCTGCAGATCATCTTCTGCCTGTGAGAGGAGACAGAGGGGAAATGTTTTTCTATCACAAGATGGAGCCAGTGAGTTGATTTAAGAGTGAAAAAAACACAGGATATAGTTCTGTAGTGCATTTTATTTTTATTTTTTATTTATATTTGCAATGTAAAGAGCAAAAACAAGATACTGATGAGAATAGGTTTCATCTTCACATAAAAAGTTCAACATTTGAGAAACGCTGCAGGAGTTGGATGAATCGTCTCAAATCTGCTGCTCTTTAATCCAAAACCACACGCTTCCTTTTAGGAAGAATGTATTTCTGTCATAGACAATATGTTTTATTAAGTAAAAATAATAATAGTAATACAATAATCAATAAACAAATTTGGCTCAGACATCATTCAATTATGTTTTCAGTAACAAAGCCAAAGAAAATACTGGATTAAAACAAAAGTTTGAAGATGGAACCGGCCGCTGCATCTACACACACAGCTGCTGCCATAGCAACTTAATCAATAATGAATATCATCATAATTAATGTTTTAACAAAGTTACACAGTACTTAAAAGAGTAAAAATATACTATATAGTATACTTGTATACATTGTATACGGTTAAAACATCGTAATCAGATGTGAGTCCCCTCTCTCTGGAAAGGTCAGATGTCAACAGGGTGGACGGATGCAGTGACAGAAAAGCAGCTTGCTCTCTGACAAAATTAACTGTTATGCCATTAAATAGACGTTTACTTTATAATCATTAGATTTAGTAAAACAAAGACTGAAGGTAAAGCAGAGTTTAGCACAGACAGCCAGTAGAGGCGCTGCTGCTGTCAGTCCCAGTCCAACATAGAGGCCGATCCTTCCCCGACTCTCTGGTTGTGGACTCTCTGGTTGTGGACTCTCTGGTTGTGGAATCACTTTTGGTCTCCGAGGTTTGGTCTTATCAGCAGCTGCTGTAAAGGAAATAGAATACATACATAGTCATAACCACACTGCTACTGCACTGCGGCTACGATGTGTATATTAAAGTGTGTGTGACTACAAACTGTGGGCAGAAATTCAAACTAAGACACAAAAAGAATAAATCTGTGACTGTTAAACTAAAACATTAATTGTCTGCAACTTTCATTTTTCAAAAAATAAACAGTATCCGGTTCCAGGTATTAAGATAGGTGAGTTTAAACAAAGTTTTCACAAATGATTTTGAGCTAATGTATGATCAGGTTTAGTGTGATAAAAGCAAACAGCTGGTCCTCACAGTTGAAAAGGTTCAGGTAACATCCTGCTAAACGGGACAACTACGCCACCTGCTGTTGTAAATTTGTATCAGCATTGGGTAGAAATAGCTAAGGAGTATTTGTCATCAATGTGGATCTGCTTTTTTGACAAGGCTGACCCCGGGGCTGTTCCACGAAGCGAGGTAACCGGCTGGTCCAGGTAACTCCAGGAGTATCTCTATTCAGTTTTACCCGATGTATGCTGTCATGGCAATTTATGTTCCATCTCTAAACTGCTCCAGGGAGGTTATCGTCGTGGTTTACTCCATGTTTACCCTTACGGCCTTGTGGAGAAAAATGCTGCCACATTTGAAAGACGCAGTTGACACATTGGTGCAGAGATTGCACATGCATCATATGATGCACTGTGGCGCTGGTGTGTTTTAGCCTTTAGACTCTAGCTGTGGTACTGTATACTATATACTTTATACTGAGTTCTACTGAAACAACTTACCAGTGACATTGAGCCGACTTTTTCCAGTGCTGACACCATACTTTGTGAGCACTTCACACAGGTACCGGCCCGAGTCTTCAGTCCTGAGTCTGTACACATGAAGTCTGGATTCGTCCTTCTCTGAGACATCTTTGTCACACTGGACTCTCCTGCAAACTGTTCATCCTGAGACTCTGGACCTCGACACCTTTATGGATGAAAACAGGACTGAGGCCTTACGATAAGATAACAACTGACAGTAGATATAAAGGAGAGTTGAGGGAACTGTCAGTGTTGTTGTGAACGTCCATTCCAGTGGATGTTATGTTTCCTCTGCCTGATAGGAGGGTCTGTGTACAATTCAGTATAAATGTTCCTGTTGAGAGACAGAGAGGAAAGTGAGGACCAGACAAACTTTAACATCTAATTATCAGCTTAACTAAACAACAGCGTTGCTCTTATAAACAAAGCTAAGTGTTAAAAGATACAACAGTATACAAAGGTGCAAAATACCAAGAATAATACAGTCTAAGCAATAACTGAATCCAGAGCATCCTTCCCAAGTGCAATCTCAGTCTCTAGCTTCAATAATTCTACTGATGTTTCCATCTATTTAATGTCTGTTGGTGAGGGTGAAAGTGTATTTGACTTTTCTCTTATGAGTAATAAACTGAAGTGGAAACTAAACACAGAAACAGGAAGGTCCAGGTTGATGGCAGCAGATGCTGCAAGATCATCTTCTGCCTGTAGAGGGGAGACAGAGGGAGAAGGAAGAGTCATAAATACATGAGGTCAAAGTTCATCACAGGTGTGAGGGAGACAATGTACAGCACCAAGCCTAATTTATAATGTCAGAAACAATGTGGCTAATGTTTGAGTACGTTCAGCTTCCTGTATGTAGTTATGTATTCTATCACAAGATGGTGCCAGTGAGTTGATTTAATAATATTTCAGCTTCATTTCAGATATTTGGGTCTTTTCAAACCTTGTCCTCACTTTTCCTTCAGTACAGAGTGTTACAAATTATTAACATGCGTGCATTGTGCATGGTTTAATCTCTTTCTCTTTATATAGATTTATATTTTCACCTTTAACATCCGTCTCCTCCTTCGCATCAGGTACGGCAGCAGGTTTAAGCAGAGTTTGGCTCTGGAAAAACAGACGATTGACTTGTAATGACTTACACACATTATGGCAAACATATTCAAGAGACTGATCTTCTGTGTATGTTTTTTTTCTTTTAACTGTATAGACAAGTAAAAATTTATAAATTAATGAAATTTCTTTTTTTATTTGGACCACAAACAACGGTTTAATAGATGAACTTTCCATCAAGAACAATTGAAGACTGCTTTTGCCTCTTTAATTCAAGGATAAAACATCTGTATCTACCTTAGTCCTCATCCTAAACCCATGACCTCAGAACTATTGGAGATATTGTAGAGAGATTGCAGCGTGAATAAGTGGAATTTCTCTTCCCTACTCAGTTCAACATTAGTTGGCAGCATTCACTCTTGTGCAACATTAGACAGACCCGCATGAAACATGCATACCACTGTCAACGCCATAGTGACAGATGGTTCATTCAATCAGATGCCAAGTAATTCATATGAATGATGATGATGAACAAAATGTTAATTTATGTGTTGGTATTTCATTTTAAGACATAACAGACACACAACAGAGAAGTTATACTGACTGAAGTTGAATTATTATTATTATTATTAGTCTTCATTAAACAAGGACCATGCACCAAAACATTAATTTCAAAATGAGAAGAGATGATTTATGCCAGATTTAGTTATTAGCTCATTTCCATCTACAACCCTTTACATACCAGAATGCCAACACTGTCCAAATCTTAACATTTTGATCAGAAATGAGAAGCAAAACTAGCAATACCATCAAATTAGTAGCATCTGTAAAACAGCCTACAGAGCAGATAGACAATTTGCCAGGAAAGGCTCAATAAATGTCCGGTCGAGGCCGAAAAAATGTATTACACATATCTCAGAGAACAAGTCAAGTTTTATTGACCATTCAGGTTACAATTTGAATATTTTTAAGTTTAAGAAAAATTTGCTTCCATATATTGTATGAGTTTACCTTCGACCGGTGTGTAGGCAAAAAGCAGCAACAAGATGATAAAGGACAAAGACTGCAACTGAGCTCTGAGTCTGACTCGAAAGTGATGTTAGTTGTTTGTTATCTCAACAAAACCACACCCATTTTTCATGACATCCTAAAATGTATCGCCACATGCTTGCAACCTGTCCACCCCCCCCTACTTTGCTCCACTCTCCTCCACTGCCTGATGCATATCTTTTCCCTCACAGTGAGCACACACCTGAGTATGCCTTGTTATACCAGAATTTTCCTGCCTGGTCAACAAAACACACAAGAAATGGAGTTTGATGATGTGTTTGTGGTTTTTTTCCAGATAAAACCACCATCCTCAGCCCTTCATATCAGGAGGAAATATATAATCTTGCAGAGCGGCGCAAAAATTACCTAGTGCCAAAAGACATGGATTTTGATGACATTTTCAAACATTGAAATTCCATACATTGTTTCAACAGCATTCATCTACATCTTTCTCATTTAATGGTACACATGTGTGATCAAAAACATAAATCAAATTGTAGCTCCACCACATGAAGAACAGGAACCCCATATCACTGTAAAATTATTTGACAGATCTTTTAATACAAATGCTAACAGTAGATGACAACTGAACTGAATGCAGTAATGAACTGTAAGTACTTTGAGACAATTAATATCATTTGACTTATATTCATTGCCATTAAAGACATACAAGACTCCTTTTTCATTTTGGCTACAGCTCTTCATGCTAATTAGGACCACTTAATTAATCAATACTTTCACTTTTGCAGAGCCTGCTTAATGTCACTGTATTCAATGTGCCCGTTTCCAGTAAACTTTATTGGCCCCAAGGGGAAAGTTGTCTTGAGCACAGTGTTACAATTGCTTCACATAGGAAACATCAGAAAAAACATTTTTAAATATCCCCAAAAATAAGAATGAATCACAAAACCAAAATGAAGCGATTTCAAACCTGCTGCAATCAGCAGGTTGTCCTGCTGTTGCATCATTTCGAAGTATGAAAACAGATTCATTACTATCCTATTTTTAGAAACACAGCACATCTATTTTTGAAATGATTCTTGGAGCAGGTACAACTTCATTCCTTTCCTCATCATTTCCTCCACGCCTGAATGTTTATCTGAGTACACATCTGTACCTCTTACACCGGACCAACAAAACCTTCTAGATTTTGCTGACGTTTTTAAAATATTTAGATTAAATAATCTTTGTTTCAACATTATTTAGCTCATATCACTGTATTACCATGTGTAGTCAGAATATGCAGTGGATATGCAGTGGAATATGTATCATATAACTTAATATAACCTGAATGAAGTTTGGTTTGTGGTTGAGATTTAGAAATATTGTACAGCAACATCTCTATAAAGAAACTGTGTCCGTGTTCTTCTTGATGATCTAAAGACTTTCCTGTCAGCAGTTTTCATTGGTGCTATTTTCTACCAAAGAAATAGTCCTTATAGAAACTACTGACAGTTTAAAATTCCTGAGCAGCAGTGAATGAATAGTTTATGAAAATGAAATGAATCTTTCCACAAATCACATTTCAAACAAACGATGGAAACTGGGAGTGTCACTGCCTACATAATCCTGATCACTGTGTTATCAGTCAGTCAATCAGGATCACATAGGTAGTGACAGTCCCAGTTGTTACACAGTCTTGTCCCCTATCAACAAACAGTAGGTAAAAATGAGGGGAAGAAACCAGATTCACTACTAACCTATTTTTAGAAACACACAAGGCATGGAGTTGATGACGTAAAGTTTGCAGATAACACCACCATCCTCGGCCTGATTTTAAACGACGATGAGACTTCATATCAGGAGGAAGTCAGCAAAACCAAAAAAGTACCTCCACTACATGAAGAACAGGAACCTGATATCGCTGTAAAATGTATACTTTAATACAAATGCTAACAGTAGATGACAATTGAACTAAATGTAGTAATAAACTGTAAGTACTTTGAGTCAAAAAACTTATATAATTTCAGTTATATTCATTGCCATTAAAGACACTTAGATAGATAGATAGATAGATGCAACATTAGGATTGAAAATTATTCTTTGCTTGTATGTTTTTCAAATGTATATTTTTTTTTCTGATCCAGATATTTTAAAGGTCTCCTGATAACTGAACTCCCTCAGTGCAAAACAAGTGAAAAAAGAGAAAATCACACGCACAAATATGGAGTTAAAGGATAGTTTTTAGACTGCATCACTATTAGTTTTTATAGAAATAAACACTACCTCTTACAGGAATGTGAACATAAAAGAAGATAAAGATGTTGCCTTAAAGTATATGTATACGTATGTATCTACTGTATATGTAGATTCTTAGATTCTGTAGAGTGAAAAAACAACGAAACAGTGCAACACACAAGATGATTCTCAAATCTGTAGTTTATACGACTACACCAGCTCTTCTTCTATCAATCAGAAAGGTGTGAAGTTAACCTTTTTGTCATATGCCAGCACCATACTCTCAGTAATCAGTCAGTTGTTTCTCTAATAGATTTGTTGTGAAAAACCCCTCTAGGCCACGTGCAATTGTTTTTCTTAAGGCTAGACAAATAATATAATGCATTATCATAGATTAAACTACCCAGCAGTATCTAAAGTAGTTACAGTACGACTAGCCTATGCTATTGGTATATATTGGACTTTTGTATACTTTTCCTTCTTTGAATACTACATGAGGCACAGATATAGTTGTGATGACAATGTTTCACTGATAATTAGTTTATCACTATAATTTCAATGATCAATAATGAGAAATACTTATTTTTCTTTTATTGTAAATACGAATTACATTTACATTGTTTTATTATTTAAATTCTTTATTATTTTATTATTTGTATGTGCTGCTGTCCCATTCAATCTGAATTCAACCTGTTACGCGTTAACATGTCTCCTATCAATAACAGGTACACAATGAACGGGCACTAGAGATGATTTAAATTATAGCTTCTGGACACTGAAAAGTAGTATCTTTATGGGAAGAACATTTACCAAATAATCAGCTCAGATAAAATAAAAAACGCTCTCCTCCACTAGGCTCACTGTCTCCCTGCTTACTGGTCACGTGTCTCTTCTCACTACTAACATGCTGCAGTTCCTCGAAGTGACCACAAGAGACACAACAACTGTGTCTTAACAGAACAATCATTATGCAACAAAAGGTCATACAATGAAATCAAAGGTTGTCCCTTGATGCCACTTACACAGAACATAACAGGTTGTGTGTTGTGGACACAGAAATTCAGCCTAATACAAAAGAGGTCAAGGGTCTCAAGGGTGTCCAGTTCTCTCCTATGGTCTGAACACAAGCTGCCGATACATGTGACTGTGATTGGTTGTCTGTCTACATGCTTTCATCTCAAGTCTCTTATTTTCATCCACGCTTCCCTCACTTGCACCTTGCAAAGGGTTGTGACATCACACAAAGCAGCAGCTTGTTTGCTTTGCAATTTGTTTTACATTGGAAGAAAGGTCAATTGCTCGTAAGGCTCACCATGCCCTCTCCCAGTAGTAGTGAGGCCTGTGGAGTTCTTTTTAAACGTTGTAACCTGCAAATTAATAACAACAGCCTTTTTAAAATACAAGAAAATTCTTTCTTGCAGGAGCATGGAACTGTGTAAGTGAGTGAGACAGTGTGCAGGCAAGGAGATTCATTATGATTAAACAAGAAGTACGTCAGAGACTTTAATTCAATGCTGGAAAGTAAAAGAAATGTCTATTTTGGGAGACAGTTGACTAATTAATAATTTTATTTGAATTGTCCCTCCATAAAATCACCTATAGTTTAGGTCAAAACAACAATGACGATATTATCGCAAACGATATATATCGCCCACCTCTACCTCATGGTCACAAAGGCACCTATAGTTTAGGGGCCTTGCTCAAGGGCACAATGCTAGACGTTGCTAACAGAGATGAGAAAACTACCCACCGTCGTCTTACTAACTAGTTCGAGGCTTCAAACAAGCGACCGCTCCAACCACAGCTGGAGACACTGGATCTGCAGAAGAGAGGATTTATGTGTCTCAGAGAATATTCACAGACAATATAACAACAACATATTAAGAACAGTAGCCCATTGAACCTGAACCGATTAGAATCTATAGCCTATATATCAGAATTATTGCTGATATCTTCACTTGTTTAGGCTACATGTGTTAGATGACGATTGACTCATAATGACTTATAATACAGACAATATTAGTTGCATCAAGAACATAAGTTGTTGACAAAATGACCCTCAGAATTTCAAACATATTCGAGTCACTGATCTTGTATGTATTTT